AGATACACACACACACACACACACACACACACACACAGGCACACAATCTCACAAGCAGGCATGCAGGGATGCACAAACCAAAACACAACCTCTACCCTGCTCCCAGCCATCTGGTCTTCCTGGATTCCCCGTGATGAGGGGGATATCGGCAGCAAAAGAGGGAGCACTAGTTGAGGATATGGATGAGGTTCAGGAACAAGTGGTGGACCAGAGTATAGTCCAGGATGATTAGGAGGCGGTGTGTCATGGGGAGGGTGAGGATTTGCAGTTGCAGGAGCCAATAGTTCCCCAATTGTGCCCCGAGCAGAGCAAGCACCAGATTGGTCAAGGCACCATGGTAGAGCACGGGCAGGACAGTGTCTCCCCTCACTGGGCACCAGTGATCTGGTGCCTTTCGGGCCATTGCATTGGGCACCTTCCATTGAAGGCAGTGTTGATGCTGCTAGAAAAGAAAACAAGGAAAGTCCCTGTTTCCTAGTTCCCCTGTCATCATTTTATTTTTTTGAATGTGGGTCCTTGGGTAAGTGTTTCTTGTGTAAGTGCTCACAAGTGTTATGTTTGGTTGGTATTATTAGGCCATGCATGTGCACACATGCTGGATTATGGTGACATCCTTCCTTTCTCACACATGCATTTTTTTAAAGATTTTATTTGTTATGTATACAAACATTCTGCTTCCGTGTATATCAGCACACCAGAAGAGGCACCAGATCTCATTACAGATGGTTGTGAGCCACCATGTGGTTTCTGGGAATTGAACTCAGGACCTCATGAAGAACAGCCAGTGCTCTTAACTTCTGAGCCATCTCTCCAGCCCCATCCCACATGCATTTTGATACAATCTAAACAGTCTCTTGGGCCTGTCCATACTGTGTTTCATCCATTTGAATCATAAGATAGTCCTTAGTGTATTGATGTGGCTTCATTCATAGCACTGGTCAGGGAAAGATCCTGGAGTTCCAGAGCACAGGTTCCTCTGAAGAGAAATGCTTGTCTTCCTACTCCAGTCCCTTACCTCTCTGAGCCTGAATCTTGGAGACAAGTGTATCTTAGTGCGATGCAGGAGCCATCCCAGCTACATAGGGAAGCATTTCTTGTTCCAGTGGAACAAGGTGTGCAGGTCTGTACTCCCAGCACCTGTTCTTCTATGGAAAGTATATCTCCAGACCCATGGCTGTGCTTGAAGATAGAGCTCTTTCATAAAGAAAGTGCTACTGGGTATGGAGAGATGCCTCAGTAATTAAGAGTATTTTTTTAAGCCGGTGGCACACATCTTCAGTTCCAGTACTCAGAAGCAGAGGCAGGCAGATATATGAGTTCTAGGCCACTCTGGTCTACAGAGAGTGTTCCAGGACAGCCAGGCATATACAGAGTAACCCTGTTTTGAAAAAATTAAACAAAAGAGTACTTGTTGCTCTTGAAGGGGAAAAGGTTCAGCTCCTAGCATCTATATTGTGGCTTACAATCACCTGTAACTTCCAAACTTTATACAGGAATCTGTAGTATAATGGTATGGTGAAAAAATGTTCTATATGGGCTCTTTTGTTTAAACACTTTCTCCCCACTTGGTTGTACTGTTTGGGAAGGTTAAGGAAGTGAAGCCTTTGCTGGAAGAGGTCTATCACTAGAAGCAGGGTTTGAGCTTTTACAGTCCAGCCCCACTTCCTGTTTTCTCTTTCCCCTTCCTCTTCCCTCCTTTCAGTATACTCACGCTCTGTAAGAGGCCAGCCCAAAGGTGACTCATAGGTTCTCAACCAAGCACACCTCAGCTCACAATGTGGCCTTACCTTGCTTCCATCCCTTCACTTGCTACTGCCATTGAAGCCTGTGGTCATTTTCACATCTAGCAGGTTCATGGACTCCATGGAGCTATCCAAAAGAGGACTTGTCCCATCCTCAGTCCTCAGAAAGGTTAGGATTGTCTCCTAAAACCCAGCTAGCCCAGCTGGAATATGAAGCTGAATTCTCCCAGGGAGACAAAGACCAAGCAACTCTTGTACTGAGGCCACTCACTGTCTTCCAGCACTTTCTGGGCTTCTTTTAGGTTTTCAGCATCACAAAGGAGATGGCACTGGTTAGTTTTTTGCCAATCTCACACAGGCTAGCGTCACATCTGGATAAGGAAATCTTAACTGAGGAGATGCCACCATGAGGTGGCTTGTTGTCAAGTTGTTGAACCATTTTCTTGATTAATGATTGACGTTGGAGGGCCCAGCCCACTGTGGGCAGTGCCACCTCTGGGCAAAGTGCTCCCTGAGTTGTATAAGAAAAGCCATGGAGAGGAAGCCAGTAAGCAGCATGCCCCCATGGTCTCTGCTTGGGTTCTTGCCTCCAGGTTTCTTCCCTGCCTTCCTCAGTGATAGTGTGACCTGAAAGTTCTAAGCTGAAATAAACCATTTCTTCCTCCAAGTTGCTTTTGGTCACAGTGTTTATCACAGCAACAGAAAACAAAACTAGGACAGAGTCTTATAAATTTCACAAGTCTCTGCTATTGAACCCATGGTTCTATATCACCTACCAGGGGAGGTTGTACAGAGCCTGGCCCAAAGGAGGAAGCCTGCCAGTCTTCTCTTGCTCTGCCCAGCCAAATCAAGAACATGGGCTTCATGCTAAACAAAGGACAATGAGGTACCATCTTGCTGGAAGGTTAGTACTCAGAGGTACACTCAGAGAAAGGACTGCAGAGGTAGGAGGCAGGACTCAAAGGGGCAAGTGTGACACAAACTGGGCAGTACATGGAATCAAGTAGACAAAGAGACCTTAGCAGAAGCCTTGCAGGTACTTCTTCCCAACAAAGACAGAATGCAAAGGAAGTGTGGACAACGTTCATTGCTGATGAAGTGTACAAAACAAAAACCTGATGTTCTTGGAGTAGAACGGGTATCACTTGCAAAGTGAGGCACGCAGTCTAAAGGCAAAAGCCCCAGAAGGTGGCTATGTAGGGGCACCCACAAGTCCTGCAGGGCCCTGTCCCAGTGTCTGTCCAATCACTGCTGTCTCCAGGGGCTTGAATCCCACATTGTCCAGGGGGATCCCGAAGGCCAATAACTTCGCCTCATATGTACGCAACAGGTCATTGTGGGCCTGAAAGGACAGAGCAATGTCAGGGAGAAAAGGAATTCACTCCAGCCTGGGAACCATAGTCAACATGCTATGGCCCACTCAGAGGTAGGCTCCATCCCATGGAGGGGAGGGGTAGGAGATCTGGGCCAAGCATTGGTCAATGGTTTGTTCTGTGCTACAGCAGTGCTGATGCCTTTATGTCATGAACTCAAATCACTCACAATAAGGACCAACTCAGAAGAACTGAGACTTGGGTGGACTCCTGGCTCTTTAGCAAGTACTTCCCAGTAAAGGTCTCTATCCCTTCCCTGTCAAAGTAGAATGGCATCTACTCCCTACCTCTGGAGATTCACCCCAGTGTCTCTCTCTGCAGAGGATACAATTGGAGGGCATTGGACCTCGTTCTGTTGTTTTTTGGAGTTTTGTTTTCATTTTTGTCTTGGAAAAGGCCCCACTATATAGTCCAGGTTGGCTAGAATTTGTTATTTCTCCCAGAACAGCCTAGCACTCAAAATCTCACTGCTTCAAAGGAAAGTTAGTTTTCTCCATGCAGTGCCACTGGACAAGACAACCATATTCTAGGACGTCCCTTGACCAGGAGTAGTTGACCAACACAAAACAAACTCCATTTTTTGTGAGTGTGTGTGTGTGTGTGTGTGTGTGTGTGTGTGTGTGTGTGTGCTTTTTTTGTCATATTTGTTTTGTTTTGGCATTTGTCTGTCTTAGGTTTTTCCATTTTTATGGGTTTTATTGTTTTTGTTTTTGAAAGAGAAAGAGCATAAAGTTGAGTGGGAAGGGGGTGTTGGGGGAAAAGGAAGAAACATGATCAAAATATATTGTATGAAATTTTTTAATTAAAAAAAAACCCTGCTGTTTCAGCCATGTGAGTACTAATATTACATGCATACACCAATACACCTTGCAATTTTTTTTCCTCTTTACTCAGGGTCTCCCTATATAGCCATTGATGTCCTGGAACTTGATATATGGACCTGGCTGGCCTATAATTTACCAAGATCCACCTGTCTCTGCCTCCTGAGTGGCAACATTAAAGGGTGTGCCACCACACCCAGCTCTCAAAAAAAGCATGTCTAGTACTTTTTATTATTATTACATATATGTATGTGGGTGTATGTATGGGAAGGTACATATTGTGCAGATGCCCAAAGAGGCCAGAAGAGAAACTCAGATGCCTTGGAGCAGAAGTTACAGGCAGCTGTGAGCCATCCATGTGGATGCTGGGAACTACACTCCAGTGTTCTTAACCAATGAGCCATCTTTTCCAACCCCCAAAATGCACTTTTTGCTGGATTGTTTGTTTTTCAAGACAGTGGTTCTCTGTGTAGCCCTGGCTGTCTGGAACTTACGCAGAGATCTGCACCTGTCTCTGTCTCCCAACTACTGGGATTAAAGGGGTATAACACCATGGCCCAGCTAAAATGCACATTTTTTAATTGGGAAAATTTCACTAAACAGTTTTAAAGACTTGAATTTGTTTTACTAATTTGTCTGAGACAGGGTGTTACTTTGCAGCCTATGCTGCCTTTGAATTCATGTCCCTCCTGCCTCAGTACCCCTAAGTGCTAGGATTATAGGTGTTGATGAATTCAATGAAATGAGAATGCTTGGAGCCTGTGAGACTCACAGCAAATGCCTGAAAAGGTCACTAGCTAGGATTTAGTGCACATCTGCAATCCCTGCACTCAGGCAGAAGCACACAGGTCCTGGTCCACACAGTGAGTTCCAAGCCAGCCAGGGTTATATAGTAGGACTGTGTCTCAAAAACAAAAAGGTTCATTATCCCCACTGTGGTTTAGTGAACAGAACTATTCCTTGAAATAGAGAGAAAAGGGTAAATAAGGATGGGTTCCAGAGAGAACTCAGAGGCTGAGCTCTGGTTACCAGACATCCCAGGTTCAGACACCTTGATCAGACAAAAGCCAAAGATATCCCCAGCCCCCAAGAGCTACACACACAGCAGTTATCCCTAATTTTGCTCTGCCATGTCAGTTGAGGGACAGGTGTGATAAGTAAAGCTCTAGCCTGACCTCTAGCGACGGCTGGGAAGCCAGGGCAGCTTGAGCAGCATGGAGTCTGGGAAGCAGTAACAGATACTGCCTACCTATGTCTAGGGTTAATTGTTTGTTTGTTTTTATTTTTTGAGACAGGGTTTCTCTGTGTAACCCTGGTTGTCCTGGAACTCAGAGATCTGCTTGCCTCTGCCTCCAGAGTGGTGGGGAAAAGGTGTGCACCATCACTGTCCAGCAAAACAAATATTTTTAAAAAATAAAACAATATAACATAAATGTCCCAATAAAGCCCTAAACAACAAACAGAGATGCAATGCCTGCTCCACAGAGTAAGGATGTGACTTGTGGGGTGGCTGTTCTTGGTAAATCCTTGACCAGAGAGTGGGCAAACACAGGCAGAACAGTCCACTTAAGGACCACCTAGATATAGAACCCAGGCTTCTCTCAGGTGCATGGGACAGATGGCAGCCAGGGTCCAGTGGGTACACATGTTAGTGTGTAAGGGTATGGAGCTACCTTAGATTCACAAAGGTAACGAAAGGGTGAGAGTGACTTACTGCAGTGAGCATTCATGTGGAAGAGCAGAGAGACACTTCCAACTGCCTGCCTGAGGGGCCAGCTGAGCAAAGAAGGGTGAGGGAGAGACAAATTTGAACATGGTAGGAGACAGAGTCCTAAGTGTGTGCCAGGCAGACCTATAAGCAAAGCCAGGACTAGGTCACTCTCAAGCCCTAAGGCTATGAAGACATATCACACGGGGATTACCATACCTACCTTCTGAATGAAACATGCAGAAGAAATGAGAGAGGGCCTCAGGGACCCTTCCTTCATCTAGAATGTTCACAAGCTGAAGCTGGGTACAGGAGCACAGTTCTATGGAGGAGACAGCCCTGAGGGAGAAGGTGGGGCTCTGGGGATGGGGATGAGCCATACATACCTTGCAGACCCGGGCCAGCTCATACTGTAAGTCCTTGATGGTGGTATTCTTCGATTCCAGAACATCCTAAGGAGAGAGACAAGGGCGACTTTAATATTCGTCATCTGATAGAGGTGGACACTAGTCTTAGGGTTAGAAAGGCTCAGGAAGTAGTAGTCTAGGTTGCCTCAGCCCATACATGCATCCACACAAGTTTGTCAGCAGGAAAAGTATCCAAGGCAAGATACTTTTCCTTGTAAGAACAACAAGAAGGGGACAACAGTAGAGTCTTTGTATTGCCTACATCCTTACAATGAAGCACCAAACTGCCAAGATGAAACAGCAGTTGATCTCTGTGTGTGTGACATAGGACATGTGACACAGGACAGAGGTCAATATTGGGTGTCATCCTCTATTGCTCTCCATCTTTTGTTTTGTTTGTTTTTGAGACAGGCTTTCTCTGTGTTGTCCCCGAACTCAGTCTGTAGGCCAGGTTGGCCTCAAATTCACAGAGGTCTGCATGCTTCTGCCTCCTGAGTGCTGGGATTAAAGGTGTGCATCACTAGCCTATAGGGCATTTTCTTAATGATTGATGCAGAAGGGCCCCACTCACTGTGAGTGGTACCATCCCTGGGCAGGTGGTCCTGGGTATACCAGGGATGAGATAAGACAACAGGTTGATAGGACAGCCAGGGCTACATAGAGAAATCCTGTCTTAAAAAAGAGAAACAAACAAACAAAAGCAGGCTGAGAAAATATGAGGAGCAAGTCAGTAAACAGCATTCATCCATGGCTTCTGCTTCAATTTCTGCTTCAGGTTCCTGCTCTGACTGCCCCCCCCCCCCCCCCCCGCCGCCCCCACCATGATGCACTGAGATGTAGGAATGTAAGTATAGGAAGAAGACTACCCCCAAATGCCCGGCAGCTGCTTTCCAAATTACTTATAAATGCCCAGCCAGTAGCTTATTACTAACTCTTACATTTAAATGAACCCATAATTCTTATCTATGTTTAGCCACATGGCTTATTACCTTTTATCAGTAAGGCATTCTCGTCTTGCTTCCTCTCAGTCTGACTGGTAACTCTGTGACTCTGCCCTTCCTCTTCCCAGAATTCTTAGTTTAGTCACCCTGCCTATAGTTCCAGCCTGGCTACTGGCCAATCTGTGTTTTATTAAAACAATTTGAATAACAAATCTTTACAATTAAAAATGGAAGGTTTTAATTTAACATAGAAAGATTACTTACAACAAAAACAGTTATTAAGAATGATAGTAGGGCTGGAGAGATGGCTCAGAGGTTAAGAGCACTGACTGCTCTTCCAGAGGTCCTGAGTTCAATTCCCAGCAACCACATGGTGGCTCACAGCCATCCATTATGAGATCTGGTGCCCTCTTCTGGTGTGCAGATATACATGGAAGCAGAATGTTGTATACATAATAAATAAATAAAAATCTTAAAAAAAAAAAAAAAAGAATGATAGTAATAGCCAAGCGGTGGTGGTGCGCTCCTTTAATCCCAGCACTTGGGAGGCAGAGGCAGGCGGATCTCCATGAGTTCGAGGCCAGCCTGGTCTACAGAGTGAGTGCCAGAACAGCCTCCAAAGCCACAGAGAAACCCTGTCTTGAACACCTCTCCCCACAAAAGAATGAGAGTAACACTACCTAATCCATTTGCATTTAGCAAAATTAGAGAAAATACTCAATTTACACTACATGTAAGTGAAATAAACCCTTTCTCCCAAATTATTTTTAGTCATGATATTTTATCACAGCAATAGAAAGCTCAAATTCAGGTGCACACACCAACACAGCCAGCTTTTCTTGTAGGTGCTGGGAATCCAAACTTTGGTCCTCATGCTTCTACAATAAGGTTTTACCAACCATCTCCCCAGGCCCTAATTTTATTTTACTTTATTTTTTTTTGTATGTTTGGTTTTGTGTGTGGTTTTTTGTTTTGTTTTGTTTTTGTAGACAGGGTTTCTTTGTGTAGCCCTGGCTGTCCTGAAACTCACTCTATGGACCATGCTGGCCTCTGTTTCCAAGTGCTGGGATTAAAGGTGTGTGTCACCACTGCCTGGCCCTAATTGTTTTTAAAGGAAAAAAAAAATTGTATAAATTTTAAAACTCTACAGTTGCTGGGCAGTGGAATTCACCAGCCAGACACTGAGGAAGTAGAATGCAAAGTACTGAGCAGAGGTAATGAACCACAGGGTAGAATGTAGATTAAAATAAACAGGTTAATTTAAGTTATAAGAGCTAGTTGGGAACAAGCCTAAGCTAAGGCAAAGCTTTCATAATTAACAAGAAGCCTCCATGTCATTATTTGGGAGCTGGCAGTCCAAAGAAAGTCTGACTATAGGCCAAGGCTTGGCACACACATGACCACGGTAAAACAGGGACACCAGAGACGCAGGTTAGGGATAGGGTTAGTGAGGGACTAGGACAGCTCAGGACAGACCGCAAAGCTACGTATGGTACATGCCCTTAATGGCAGCATTCATGAGGCAGAGGAAGGCAGATGTCTATGAGTTTGAGGCCAGCTTGGTCTACATACTGAATTCCTGTCTCAAAAAAAAAAAAAAAAAAGAGAGGCAGAGCAGGGAGCAAAACCGGAAATGGACAGGTGCAGTGCACAAGGGCCTGTAGCACATGCTCTGTTCTCAGATGCAGAAACCATGGCAGCCCCTGACTTCACTGAGGGGGGTCTCTGTGCCATCCAAGAAGGCAAAGCACAGGACTGAAAGACCCACCATGGAAAACAAACACTGTGACCCACAAGGCCATCAGCACTTACCTCCAGTTTTCGGGACACAAGCGTTAGTGCTGCAGGATCCAAGTTGGAGGCTGCCAGCACCTCGTTGAACTGCACCTCCCTCTTCTCCACTGCAGCATTCAGTGCCTGCAGTTTACGCTCCAACAACAGGTTCTTGAAGCCTGTCTTTTGCTGCACCTCCTGGATGGCTGCAGTGAATTTACGATAGAGGTCGTCTCTCTCCTGCTGCACCTGGGGACAATAAGACTGGAGTGAGCAACAAGGACCCTCACAGGAGATATCTCTTTAGGGAGAAACCACTTCCCACCCGCCCTAAGTATGTTGCTTCTGTAGAAGGGTCACTTTCACTATCGCCACACCCATGGCACATGGTCCTTTGCTGTCCACACTGCCTGCACTGTACCCTATGTGCACAGAATGAAAAGTTTGTAGTTTGGCACACAGCAGAAGGTAAGAGAGGGGAGTCAGCATTACCACTTATTCTAATTAGGGTCACTATTGCTGTGATGAAACACCATGACCAAGCAACTTGGAGAAGAAAGGGCTTATTTGGCTCATACTTCTACATTATAGTCCATCATTGAAGGAACTCAGAATAGGAACTCAAGCAGGGCAGGAACCTGGAGGCAGGAATTGATTCAGAGGCTGTAGAGGATGCTGTTTAATGGCTTGTTCCTCATGGCTTGCTCAGCCTGCTTTCATTACAGAACCCAGGACCACCAGCCCAGGGAGGGCACCACACACAGAGAGACCCAGGCCTTAGAAGAACTGCAGCCATAGCACAAAGACCTGAGCAAGATGCAGTCCGCATCCCTCACCCATACTGACCCTGACCTTAGCCCCCTAGTTACAGGAAAAAAAACATGAACACCAACAACCCCCCCCCAAAAAAAGAAATAAAAGCTGCAGTATAAGCAAAGTGATATTTCATTCCTAATAGTAAGAGGGCTTTCACATATGAATAGTACAGGAAAGTCACAACAAATGTGTGACTCTGGGAATTCAGGTTAAAGGATGTTGTTTTTGTTTCTTTATCAAAGTCATAAGATGCAATGATTAATTCATTCATTCATTCATTTTGAGACAGAGTCTCCTCATGTAGTCCAGGCTGACACTGAACTATAGAGTTGGGTTTATAGGTGTGTCCCACACTTGGCTTACTCTATGGTTTTTTGTTTTTGTTTTTGTTTTTCCTTTTTATTGGAGGGTTTCTCTGTATAGCTGCCCTGGCTGTCCCGGAACTCCTTTGTAGATCAGGCTGGCCTCGAACTCACAGCGATCCACCTGCCTCTGCCTCCTGAGTGCTGGGATTAAAGGCATGTGCCACTATCACCTGGCTCTCCATGGTTTCTTTACAATGATTAGGCAATAAGTTAATACTAAGAAACGTACAACACAGATGAAACCACAGGGACCAAGTCTCCTCCACAAATTGATAGGGATTCTGGTTCTCATGAGATTTGGGGCCTTCTACAAAATATACCACAAGTTTTTTCCACATAAAAGTTGCATGCATGCTGGGTGGTGGTGATGCATGCCTTTAATCCCAGCACTTGGGAGGTAGAGGCAGGTGGATCTCTGTGATTTCTAGGCCAGCCTGGTCTCCAGAGCAAGTTCTAGAACAGCCAGGGCTACACAGAAAATCCTGTCTCAAAAAATAGAAACCAAAAACAAAACAAAAGTTATGTGCACACACACCTATAATTCCAGCTACTCAGGAGGCTAAGTTAGGAGGGTGCCAGATCCCAGGAGTTCATGACCAGGCTGAATGAGACAGTGAGACCCTATTTACAAACAAACAACAAAAATGCAGATTAGGAGTAGATAGGAGGAAATGTCTAGTTCCCAAATCCATAGCCCAGCCATGGCATCCACACCTGCTCACCTTGATGAATCGCTGCTCCAGTACCTCATGCTCCCACTGCAGGTCTTTCAGATCTTTCTCAGCAACCTTTAAACGTGCCTTCGTACACTGCAGAGAAATTAGGGAGTAGGGGACATAAAATACTTAGGATTCACAGACACTCACATAACACAGACTCCTGGAGACAGCATGGCCAGAAAAAAAAATCATCAGGAGCAAATGGTTGGAAGACTCCAGCAGCTGGGCCCCACCTAAGCTATGAGTGGAATGTGTGGAAAACTTAGGTCTAGTCTACAATAGCGCCTGGCTACTTATAGCTCCATATCTCCCTTTCTTGCACTAAGGAGGAGTCCTGCTCACACAGGCCTCAGGAGACATCCCCTCATTTGCCTTCCCTCCTGGGCCTGCAGGGAGGGGAAGATGCTTCAAAGGAGGGAAAAGAATTCAGTAGGAAACTCACAATCAAGATCTGCTTGTCCCGTTCATAGCTCGCAATTCTCTTCTGCATCTCATTCATCTCTTCCCTTGCTCTCTGCAGAGGTTCTGCCAGCCGTTTGTTCTGCAGAGCCACCTCCGCCATCTCCCTCTCCAGGTGCTCTTCTTTCTTCCGCATGTCCTCCATCTGTTCCTGTTAGCACGTGCACAGTCGGGGCTTGGCCTGGGATAATTGGCCAAATGCCCTCAATTTTATTTTATTTATTGCTAGTGTTTGACATGTGAAAGTGTGGATGTGCATGCCACAGTACACTGTAGAGGTTAGAGGACAGCTTTCAGGAGTTAATTTTCTCCTTCCACTAAGGGTTCTAGGGCTCTAACTCAGGTTATCAGGTTTGCGTGTCAAGCACTTTTACTCACTGAACCATCTCACCAGTACTTTTTGTTTTTTGTTTTTTTAAGACAATGGTTCCCTAACCAGCCTAGGTTAGCTTTGAATTTGTTCTTTTCCTGCCTCTGTCTCTTCAGCACTGGGATTACAGGTTGTGCCACCATATCCAGCTATGGAATCCCTCATGTAAAAACAGATCCTGAGGCAGGCATGGTGGTACACACCTTTAATCTCAACCCTCAGGAAGCAGAGTCAGGTGGATCTCTGAGAGTTTGAGGCCAGCCTGGTTACACCGGTGAGTTCTAGGACATCTATAACTACCCAGTGAGGCCCTGTGTCAAAGAGACAACCAGTCATGTGCATATTGAGGATCTAGTCCTATTTTCATATAAGCAGTATTTTGGCAGTTTTGACCTTCTGAATTATGTTAGGAACAGAACTTCCATGCAGACTGAGGGGTTGCATTTGTTTAGACCAAAGTCAGTTCTCTACTGGGGAAATCCTGCCAGTGTCAGGGTTATGTTTCCCCAGTTACCAAGCAGTGATTGATGGGATGAACTCCTGACACAATCCTCTCAGCACCTACACACTGTAACAGCTGCTAAGTGTGGCCACACTCCAGTCAATACATACTGCCTACTGTAACCCTGCCTAGGCCTCTACATGTCAGAACACCTTTAATTTTATCTGAGAGTAACAGAGGGATATTATTGTAGAATGGAGTGTTAGATCTGGTGGGACTGAAGATTGGGTCTGCATCCCAGGCCCTGCGCATGCCTCCCAGACCACATCAGTACCTTGAGGGAATTGATTAGGGCCAGGTTGTTAAGAGTGATGTCATTGTAGTAGTTCTTGATATCAGTGAAGGCCTCCTCATGACGCTGCATCAGCGTACTGATCTGGCCATTCTTCCTCTCCTCCACCTCATGGATCTCAGTCTTTCTCCGCAGGTCAAGCTCATCTCTCAGCATCTTCATCTTCTTATCATACTTGGTCTCAATTTCTGAAAGGCAACAGCACACACAGCAGCTTAGAACAGGTGACCCGAAGCCACAAGAAAAGATGGAACCAATAAACAGTGCTCAAGAATACCATCAGGGCCAGAATGTAAGTTACACAGGTCACTCTGCCATAGTCAGATTGGCTTTGGTGGAACTTTTCCTGCAAGTGACATATTCAGCACATAGGCCACTATCACCTTTCCTCTGTCTATGATAATCAGTGTTTGCAGTGGGTGTCCCACACTAACTCAGTGCACACTAACCATGGCCTATGTGGCTGTCCAGCCACACACCATAGGGCTCAGTCAATAAAGCAGATGGACTTCTGGCATGGAAGGCTCTGAAATCCAGGAGCCTGAACAAAGTGCTATGTGCTGCTAACGGCTGGCTTTAGACAGAAATGGAGACATGAGTGGTAACCACAGCTTGCCACATTCACATGGGAATGAGTTTTTCTATGGCTCTGAATGAATCTGTTGGCTTCAGAAATATTCTCTCTCTTGATCCAGACATGGTGGCTCACACCTTTAATCCCGGCACTCAGAAGGCAGAGGCAGGCGGATCTCTGTGAGTTCGAGATTAGTCTGGTTTACAAAGTGAGTTGCAGGACAGCCAAGGATACACAGAGAAAAAACAAAAACAAAAAAAACAAAACAAAATTTACTTTCTGTCTTCTTCTCCCCTCTGTCTGCCTGTCTGTCTGTCTGTCTCTCTCTCTCTATCTGTGTGTGTGTGAGAGAAAGAGAGAGAGAGAGACGGAGAGAGAGACTGAGAGACAGAGACAGAGAGAGAGAGAGACTGAGCTGTTTTAACATGGTTTATGTGCCTTAAGTTACTAAGCAGTGATGGGAGGGGCTCCCTGACAGCATCCTACATACACCCTGCACATCTGCGAAACTGACCTCGAACTTGCCTTTCAAAGTCATTTCGCATCTTGGTCATCTCCTCAGCATGTTTCTGTACAAATGAAAAGGGGGTGTTACTAGAAAGCCAGACAGAGAGGCCCACGACCCTACTATGTGTGGGAAAACTCAGTTTAGTAACTCCTGTGCTGCTGCTACTTCCTGGACTCTCCTTACCGCCATATCATAGAATATGCCCAATGACACGGCTTGGAGAACCTCCACATTTCATACATAACTCACTTCCTTCAGGGGAGTCACCTCTGAGTCTGACAGACAGTGCAGACATGAGCACTGTACAACCTTTCCAAAGCCAGAATCAGCAGTCACATCTACATGGAGCCTTACACAGCTCCTGCTAGCCTGCCTCACTATTGCTTAGAGCAGTACACACAGATGCTGATTATTCTGGTTTTTTGAGACAGGGTTTCTCTGTTTAGCACTAGCCATCCTGGAACTCGCTCCGTAGACCAGGCTGGCCTTCAATGCAGAGATCCCCCTGCCTCTGCCTCTTTCTCCTGTGCACTACCACACCCAACTCAAAGATTATTTTAATGAGCAATTACATGCTACATTTTTAAATAAGATTTATTATCTAATTATTTGATTTTATGTGATCGAGTATTATGTCTATACCATCTGCATGCCTGGTGCTTATGGAGAAGAAGACATCATAACCTTTAGAACTGGAGTTATATACAGTTGTGAATCACCATATGGGTAATGGGAATTGAACTAGGGTCTTCTGTAAGAGCAACCAGTACTCTTTTTTCTTTTTTTCTTCTTTTTTTTTTTTTTTTTTTTTTTTTTTTTTTTTTTTTTGGTTTTTTGAGACAAACCAGGGTTTCTCTGTGGCTTTGGAGGCTGTCCTGGAACTAGCTCTTGTAGACCAGGCTGGTCTTGAACTCACAGAGATCCGCCTGCCTCTGCCTCCCGAGTGCTGGGATTAAAGGCAATGGCCACCACCGCCCGGCCGCAACCAGCACTCTTAAGCACTGAGCCAGCTCAGAGTTTTATTCTATGTGTATGGGTATTTTGCCTACATGCATACACTATGTGTGCCTGGGTGTTCACAGAATTCAGAAGAAGCTGTTGGATCCTCTAGAACTAGAATTACTGATGGTTGTGAGCTGCCATATGGGTGCTAGGAATTGAACCCAGGTCTTTAGAAGGATTGTCAGTGCTCTTAACTGCTAAGCCATTTCTTCTGCCCCTACATATTACAAATTTGAATAAAAGTTTTGCTAACTTATTTGTTAAAAACCACTAATCATTTTTGCACAAAAACACAAATCCCTAGATGTCAAAGACCTAGTTCTGGCATCTAGGTTCACTTTTCCATAGCATCAAACTACAGGCTGTACCTACCAGACGAAGGTTCTTTATCACCACCTCGTTAGCCAGCTCCTGCTCCTTGAGCTCCACTTTCAGTGCCCGCATGTCCTTTCTCAGTACACCCTCCTGCATGCGGTGCTCCTTCTGGGCCAGCTTCATGACCACAGTGCCCTCAGCCTTCACCTCGGCTAGGTTGTTCTGGTGCTCATACAACAGGTGCTTTACTTTCTGTTTGTACACCTGCAAAGAGCGTGGGGTGCCACATGCTCATCTGAAGCCCCAGTGCATGCCCAGCTCACAGGCAGCTAAGAGGCAGAACTGTAGAGGGCGGCCTGCTCATACTCCTGCCATTCACAGAGGCTGCAAATGAAATACTCAGAACTTGCAGGGTCTCTCCTGCTACTAGAATGAGACTGCTTTACCTTGTCCTCTTCAGAGACTGTTGGGAGGTTCTAACGGGAATACGGTGGACACTGTGGCAGGTCATTCAGTTATAAAACAATTTGAATAAAAATTAAAACCTCATATTCTTGTTTGTTTTGAAACAGGGTCTCCCATAGCCCAGGCTGACCTCAAACTATTTACATAACTAAAGTTGACCTTGAACTCCTGGTCCTCTTACATCTACCTCCCAAATGCTGGGATTACAGGCATGTACCACCATGCCTAGCTCTATGCTTTAAATACTTTCCAATTTTGCTTGGCTGAATTCATAGCAGTTCTTGGCACACTTGCACTTAGACCTTACCACAGTCTTCTTTCATCAGAGTAAGTGGTCCTCTTCCACAGACCACGCATGTAGCCGTGCAGGAGGCTTTGGATACTCACCTAGTCCAGGTTAGTCAACAGAATCAACCCTGGTGATCAATGTGGTGACAAACGACACAGCCAAATCACCTTTGCAAACTTCCTTGGACTCTTTTTGAAAAATTGCCTCTTGTTCACAGTACAAAGAACATAAGCAAAGGAGTCTATTTCCAAAGAAGAACAGAAAATGTCCCCACCCAGCCTCCTTCCTGTGCTGCTGCACCATGACTCTGGTGGAGACAGACAGACCAACTCCACTCACCTTAATCTCCACCTGGTGCCTCTCCTCTGCCTCCTCCATCTCACGGTCTTTGTTTCGAAGCTCAGCCTTCTTTTCCTCCAGCTGCCTTCTTGTTATCTCCCAGAAGGTGTGGATTTTGTCACGTTCTAACTGAAAGTAGTTGCGCTCCTCTCGTTCTCGGTCCAGCTCTTCCCGGATACGCGAAACATGTTCCTCGACCTGACCAGGCACAGGGCATCAAATGAGGTACCCTGCAGGAGCCCATCTACCATCACAGTGTGTGGACCAAGGGAAGCAGGGAAGAAAAAGGGAGGGGCCATTTTACAAAAGTTAAAATACAAAGCAGGAAGGCTCCAGAGACAGTAAATAGCAAAAGTCTCTCAAAGTTGGCAAAGAATTACAAAACAATTTTATCTGTTCAGAAACTCCTGGATTCTTTTAAGAAATTTCTCAAGCCGGGCAATGATGACACATGCCTTTAATCGCAGTACTCGGGAGACAGAGGCAGGTGGATCTCTGTGAGTTCCAGGCCAGCCTGGTCTACAGAGTGAGTTCCAGGATAGCCAGAAATGTTTCACAGAGAAACATCTGTTTCAAAAAAAAAAAAAAAAACAAAAAACAAAAAAGAAATTTCTCAAAAGAAACACAAGCATCATTTTTGTTCAAAGATATTAGTATTCCTATTGTTACTATCTACAAAAAGAAAACTTTAAAAGGAAATAATGTACAACAATTTTAAACAGGAAAATGTTTGAAAATTGGAATACATCAACTCTAAGAGATATAAAAATTACACAGAAGCACATAAGTGTCTCCACAAAAGATTAAAATAAAAATAAAAAGACCACTGGAAATACTTACTATTAAAAAATTACACAAAATTAGTGGGCTCCTTGGTCCAGAGCCAATTATAAATCTGCAAATAGGTTAAGGAGAAAAGTAGGACAGGTTTTCAGCTTTCTTGGGCTCTTGCTTCCCGTGAGAATTAGTTATCTTTAGGCACAGTCCCAGGACAGTTACTGTGAAATATTTTCTCTCTCAAGATACATTCCACACAGGGAAACCATATTTTTCATTTTGAAAAACAAGACAGCAAGCAGACAAGTAATTCTAAGGAAGGGTGCTGGGCAGGGGCTAGGTGCCTATGGGAGAACATGGCACTCCAAAATCTGACCAGTGCCTCTCATGGTGTCATACACATCGACAGTGCCTGACAAGTGTCTTCACATCATGGGCCTTTGGTGGCACCAAACAGAACCCTGCTCTGTTTGACTCATATCATGTTAAGAGTATGTCAGCAATAGCAATTTGGATTTCTTAAAATAAACAAATTTCTAACTTCTCTTGAAAACTCAAAAAGCTAAGAACACCAGAGTTCGGGGGCTGGAGAGATGGCTCAGTGGTTAAAAGCACTGACTGCTCTCCAGAGGACCTGAGTTCAATTCCCAGCACCCACGTGGCAGCTAAAAACTGACTGTAACTCCAAGATCTGACACCTTCACAGAGACGTACATGCAGGCAAAACACCAATGCAAACAAATTATATATGTATAAATGTGTATACACACACACACACACACACACACACACACACACACACACACAATCACCAGAGTTCAATACCCACAGGGCAACCACCCTGTGAACTGACTACAAATATAAACCAAGTCTTGGCTTCCTACTGGACTCTGAAGGCTTCCAAGACTGTGCTTCAAACATATAGTACATGGAGACCAGCCCCCGCTCTGCAGATTATGTATGTATGTATCATCAGGCATTTAGTCTACTGGAACACTAAAACATTAAGATTCAGTCTCCAAAGATGTGAAATAAACAGTGTACAAGAAATAGCATGTCAGGACAGCCTAAAATTCAGTCTATTTTCCATTCATCCATCCATCTCAGTCAAAACACAAACTGGATCCCCTGACCACACCTCTGCTTAAATTGCTAATGGTTTTCCTGTACATAAAATGAAGTATTCATGGGACTAGAGAGATGGTTCAGTGGTTAAAAGCACTTGCTGCTCTTGCAGAGGAACAAGATCCAGTTCCCAGCACCCACGTGGTGGCTAACAACCATCTATAAATTCAGTTTCAGAGGATCTGAAGCCACCTTCTGGCCTCTGTAGGCACTGCACATACATGATACACATGCATACAGGCAGGCAACACACACACACACACACACACACACACACACACACACACACACACACACACAAATAATCTTTTGATTAAAGAAATGAATAAAAGTTATTTTGCTTTTGTTTTTTAAGACAAGGTTTTTCTGTGTAGCCCTGGCTGTCCTAAAACTCACTGTACAGACCAGGCTGGCCTTGAATTCACAGAGATTCATCCACCTCTGCCTCTCAAGTGCTGGGATTAAAGGTGAATAAATCTTTTAAAACGTATATTTTGCATGCATATCTGTGCACCATGTACATGTTTGGTGCCAGTAGAGGTCAGAGGAGAGCATCAGATATCCATCCCTGCCCCCCTGCCCCCGAATTGGAATTACAGATGGTTGTGAGTTACTATGAGGGTACTGGGAATCAAACCCGAGTAGGCCCTCTGCCAGAACTTTTAACCAACAAGCCACCTATCCAGTTCCTAAAAACATATTTTAGCCAAATGGTGGTAGCACACACCTTTGATCCCAGCACTCAGAGGCAGAGGCAGGTGGATCTCTGAGTTTGAAGCCAGCCTGGTCTAAAGAGTGAGTTCCAGGACAGGCTCCAAAGCAATACAGAAAAACCCTGTCTCAAAAAACAAAAAACAAACAAAAAGAAAGAAAGAAAGAAAGAAAGAAAGAAAGAAAGAAAGAAAGAAATGAAAAGATTATACAGACTACAAAAATAGAGAAAATTTATTGAAACATGCTGTAAGCAAGCAGCAGGCAAGTTCCCAGAGAAGTCTCACATGACTGGGAGCAGGTGCAAGTTTTCTATGGTAGCTGAGGGGGAAGTTATTTGGTCTTATCTCCTTAGCAATTTGTGTAGGATCCATATCTGGGTACAAGGGATTGTGGGACATCTCATTGTCTTGTATGTAGTAAATTTCCAGCACAGATTGTTTTTCTTGAGACTGGCCAGCAGTGTACGGTACCACAAGTCATTAGAAGTTAGGCTCCAGCTGTCTATATAAGATATCACACACGTCACTTCGAGGCAGGCACCATGTGGTCATGCCTGGTTGCTGAAGAATGGAAATTTGCTCTTATTTTTTTCTTTTTTTTGCCTTTTGCCTCTGAAATCACCAATACTCGACCCTTGTCCAACTCCAATTTCAGCTTATATCACTCAGTCTCCTTTGTATATAACCCTTCAGTCTTGTGTGAAAATCTCACAGGGCAGCCATCATTGATACACCATGCTTGCCACATGCTGTAGCTTTCAAGAGCCTTGTATGTTGTATAATTATGTCCTCTAGCCTTTTATATCAATATACATAAGTGGTTTAAAATAAGGACATTACCTTCCTGAGTTCAATCTTCAACATTACCCAAAAAATATAATAAAGACACCAGGGATATAGCTCAGTAGTAGAGCATGTGCCTTAACAAAAAATTAAATAAAGGAAGAAAACCTCCTCCCAAACTAAGCACAGTCAATAAGAAAGAGGCAGCTCTAACAGGGCTATTCCTTGTTGGAAGTGTTGTCAAAAATAAAACAACGAGGGGCCAGCAAAATGGTTCAGCAGGTAAAGGTATCTGCTACCAAGCCTGGAAACCTGAGTTCAATCCCAGACCCAGAACCAACTCATACAAAAGAAATAACAACAATCTAAAAAATAGTGGATGATTAATTAGATTGAAACAATGTGATTTTAAATAAGTCATGTTCATTTTAAAACTTTCCTCGACTCCCTCTCTCTTTCCTGTTATTCCTCTGAAAAGGCAGACAAGACTTTTCCTGTCTCTCTCTTCTCTTTCTGTCTCTCTCCCCTCTTTCTCTTCTCTCCCCCCATCTTCCTTTTCTTTATCCACTCCCTTCCATTTCTCCCAATAAAACTTCCCACTTAAAAAGAAACAACTTTCCTCTTTTTTGGATTTCTTTTTAAATTTTTTAATCTTTATTTTATGTGCACTGAGGTGAAGGTATCAGATCTTCAGATCTCCTAAACTAGAGTTACAGACAGTTGTGAGCTGCCATATGGGTGCTGGTAATGTTTGAACCAGGGTCCTCTGGAAAAATAGTTAGTACTCTTAACCGCTGAGTCATCTCTCCAGCCCTCTTTTTTTGGATTTTTGAAACAAAGCCTCTCTCTGTAGCTCTGGCTGTCCTGGAACTGCCTGTATAGATCAGACTGGCCTTGAACTCACAGAGATCCACCTGCCTTTGCCTCCTAAGACATGAGCCATCACACTAGGCTAAAAACTTTCCTTTTGCTATAATGTTTACTGGCAAACAAAGAATGACACATATGTATTATCACATATGTATCAGCTCTATGAACAATGGGCATGTAAAAAAGATAAGAATGGCCGGGTGTTGGTGGCACATGCCTTTAATCCCAGCACACGGGTGCCAGGATAGACTCCAAAGCTACACAGAGAAACCCTGTCTCAGAAAAGAGAGAGAGAGACAGAGAGACAGAGAGAGAGACAGAGAGAGAAGAATGAAAGAAAGAAAATACACAAAGTTAAAAATAGCTATTATGTTCCAGGGGTGATGGCTTCGGGGAGGGGAGCTCCTTCCAAGTTCCTATTAAAGTTTCTTCACATGGATGTATTGCATTTTTTAAAAATATGTAATGCACTCGGGAGGCAGAGGCAGGCGGATCTCTGTGAGCTCAAGGCCAGCCTGGTCTCCAGAGCGAGTGCCAGGATAGGCTCCAAAGCTACACAGAGAAACAAACAAACAAACAAAAAAAAAATGTAATGTGGCCTGGCAATGGTGGCGCATGCCTTTAGTCCCAGCTTTCAGGAGTCAGAGACAGGCGGATCTCTGTGAGTTCGAGACCGGCCTGGTCTACAAGAGCTAGTTCCAGGACAGCCTCCAAAGCCACAGAGAAACCCTGTCTCAAAAAACCAAAATAAATAAAAATAAAAATATGTAATGTGGAGGTGATGGAAACTACAGACATAGAATAGGCATGTTACATCTGGGCAGACTGAGAGGAGATGGACAAGCAGAGTGGGATGAGTTCACAACACATCTGTCGAAGTGCCCACCCTGGGACCAGATGACAAGGCTGTGCTCACCTGCTCCTTCGTCATGTCCTCTGGTGCGAGTCCATCAACAACCAGGTTGCCCTTGGCTTTGCCTTTCTTCCCTTTCTTTTTGGGCGCCTTTGTTTGAAGAAGAGATGACTGAGTAAGTAAAGGCCACTCTATCTAATGCCATCCCCCTTGACTATTTGCTTACACGGGCATTAGGAGAAGGCACACCTGTCTAGAATCTCAACCTCTGCTGTTCACATGCTCTGACTGGAGCACTCACTTAGAAGGCATCACTATACTGACCCCCTCCCCTACACACACACACTGTGAACCACATACACATGGTGGGAGGGGAGGTCATTAACACATTTAGAGGAACACAAAGAAGAAATCTTCCTCTTCAGAAAAGAACACTTTCTCTTTCCAAAAAGGGAAGGAGAAGGGATTCACTCCAAACCCATTCACTCCTGGACATAAGGCAAGGATGTCTCTGGTGTGGTTAAAAAAAATTTTTTTTAATGAAAAATTCATTTGGGAGAGGGAGAGGGGATTGAGGGAAGGAATATGGGGAAAGAAAGCTAAAATTAAGGAGCATTCGAGGGGGAGTATGGAAACCTAAAAGAAAAAGAAAGACTTATCTGGAATGCACACACACACACCCCATGTCTCCCTGCAGTATGTTGGCCTCATAACCACCACAGAAACACATGCAAGAAACTTATCAATAAGTATAGAAAATTAGCCTTTTGGCTAAGATCTAGTTCTTATCAGTGTAAATGTAGAAGGAGTGAGCTCGTGGCAATGACCAAATCTGAAGCTTCGTTTCTTCCAACTATAAAACTATAGAGAACTCTAGTCAGGAGTGAGCGAACTGCACACTTGAGAGTGTCTGTAAATGTGGAAACTGCTCACAGGGTCCTGCTTCATCTTAGCAGTTTTGATAAGCTTTCAGGGAAAACTCAACAGTAGTTGATAATCCACGATGTTTCCAGCCAGGAGCTCTCACAGAGGAAAGCCACCCCACCAGCTCAGGACCCGCCTCCTGGCACACCTGTCAAGAATCGGCATTAATGACAACACCCGTATCCTAAAGAGAAGGGCCTCATTATATGAGGAAAGTCTGAGGAGCCTGAGGTCTCTGCACACCCAAGGTGATGGGTGATATCCTGATCGCGCTGTGACACTCGACAATCTCCACACACCTCAGTAGAGAGGGCCCTCTAGCCACCATGGTATGCACCAGGCTCTCCACCTCAGAGTTCCCAGGGTTTCTCCTGAGCTGGACTCTGCTCCCTGCGGACCCTTAAGAGCCTCAGAGCCCGTATGAGGTGGAATCCTAGATTCCAAGGATTTGGCGGACTCAGCTTCTGACTTCTGGTCACTTTGAACACCAGGCTCTCAGTCTGGTAAATTCGGCGACCATCCCAGAGAACAGAAGTTCGAGTGTATGCAGGCCCTGGCAGCCTGGCCTCTCCAACTGGGACCTCACGGAAGCTCTCAATTCTAGTAATCCAAAACTGCAGGCCGCTAACCCCAGGCCTCCCAGTCCCCGGGACCCAACCCTATCTGCATTTCTACGCCAAAGTCCCCCTGTTCACCCCAGATTCTGGGTGCACTGGAGAGCCAGAGCACCGGCCCAGCTCACCATGTTGCCAGCAGTCAAACACCGATACTACTCCGGGGCAGGCGCTGGTCTACAGAGGCTGCGTTGTCTCCTGGCAACCCAAACCCGATCCCGCGTTGGGTCTCATATCATCGCGAGAGTCTCCTAGCGCCGCCGCTGCCCCACCCACCTCCAGAGACCTAGACAACGGGGAGTGCGTCCTTAACGACGTGCCAGAAGAAGAGATAAACAGCTAGCTGCTGCGGGATGTTGCCTTCAATGTATGACGGCTCTCCTTCCCGCTAGAACTTGAGCTCCAAAAGGGACGACTGTGATTCCCTCGGTTCTCCAGAGAGAATAGATGTCTAAATGATTACTCTGCCACCCAAGCTCAGTTCCCAAACTGGATTCAAATAAAACAGCCGGCTCCTGCGGTTCATCCACTTGTGAAATTCCTGCCCCGCTTGTGAAATTCCTTTCACGTGCTGCCCTGATGAGATTACTGAAAATGCATATCTGGGCTTCCAGAAACTCGGGAAAGAAAGAGAAAGGCTGGGAGTGTTGCCTTATGCTGTCATCACCGCACTGGGGAAGCTGGGAGGAAAAACTGCATGCAGGGTTGAAAACTAGCCTTGGCCACATAGTTCTAATCCAGCCAGAGCTACGGACCAAGACCCTGGCTCAAAAGGAGGGAGGTGGGGATGGCAAGAAAAAAAAAAAAAGTGGCCTGGCATGAGTATTTGCAAAGACATGCTGAGTGTCCTGGTTTCAGTGCCCAGAAACAGAAGGGACAACAAGTCACACAGCGCTGTCTGCTTTATGGATGAAGATTCCACGACCATAACTTGATGCAGGCGTCCACATCTAACCATTAAAGAAAGGCTTGCTCAGTAGGGGGAATCTGGGAGTCATA